CAGACAAAAAGACAAAGCTATTCGACGACCATATATACGCCAGTAAACATGATGTCGAAGATTATATCAACTGCATTGATTGGCTTTGCAACTTTTGCTGCAGCAAATGAAGTCCAACGTGACCTTGCTGGAACTGCTGGAGGTTTCCTCTTCACCATGAGCGACTGTCCAGGAATGTGTTTGACCTACAACCGAATTCAGGGACAAATTGAATTGAACAACTGCAGCATCGGGGGGAACATGAAGGTGTGGGAAGTTGACTACTCTTGTGGTGAAGAAGATGGATTCTTTCAAATCAGAAATGTCATGGAGAGTAAGTGCATTGCCGATCCAACCGACTGCTCGTCCTGCAACCAAGGCGTCACTCTGGTTGACTGTGACAACAACAACGCCGCATGGTTTAGCTACGGAGCCCTACACAAGACAGGACCAAATGCATACTATCTATACAACACCAGATGTTGGTTGAAAGAGGGCAAGGTCAGTGCTTTGTCCACACCCAGTTTGGACTCCAAGACATGCCCAGAAGACTTTTCCGTTGGTGCATGCCGGAGAATGGAATGGAATGCGGATCACTTCAGCCGGGACATTTCCTATTATGAATGGGGTTTCAATGAAGTAAAGACGGAGTGTGATGACACCTTGTTCCCATGAGACAGTTTGATTCAGAGAAACCATAGAGAGAGTTACACATGACAACATATTTCGGGCGCTGGTGCCCAGCCATAGATTTACCAGCAAGCCTAATCAAATAAAGACATCACAAAACATATCATCATGCTTGATTGTATCTATTATTTACAATTTATCACATACCAAATACATCTTCATTTTGCTCCATCCTCTACTGTACAGTAGGCAACTGCTACACCCATAGGCGCATTTTCGAATCATGTGGACGGATGATTTTGGGGGAACCGTAGATAGTGCGAGATGACTTTTATTGCAGCGATGGTAGTATTGCTATTACCAATGATTTGTAGTCCATGATTCAGCTCTACCCGAGGAAGTAGTTTGTAAAACTTGAAGGATTCATCACGTCCACCAAAATGTTGTGGAAGGATGAAACACAACATGTGGATCGCGAATGATGAATGCGGTGTTGGGAACCAAAAAACTATTACAGTATGTATCTACATACGCGGACTTGCCCGAGTCATCAAAGAGAATGATTGCCTCGCCATGGTTGTTCCCTTCGCTATCCCTACTGGTACTCTCTTGTTGATCGCTCATGCCCGATCCTATATATGATTGTATTAGACAAGTTGTTGCGGTGCGTGTCAGGTAATCATATGTATGGCGCAAACGGTAGGTACCTGGTAGGCAATCTACATATATATTCAATATTATCGGTTTATTGATTTCGATTTTGAATAATCTAGTTTATCGACTCATTCGAATGTACATTCGAATCACATACATGCAATAAGAATTATTGAATGCCATTCAGTGTGTTGACGCAATATATTGAAAATATATGAATATAGCCACAAGAATAACAGCATAGGGCATGCTCGAGCACGAACATGGCCACCAAAAAGCTGGATGATGACGACGATTTGAATAACAGAAGAAACCAAACAATAATAAAAGCGACACCCATAGTGGCCACGAACGACTCCTGGGTGACCTTGTACGAAGACGTTCTTGACCCAACAGATGATGATTCGGAGCAAATCTTGCACGAACTGTACCAAAATTTGCCATGGAATGTGGAAACCGATCAATTCGGACCCCAATCTCGACCTACCTGCTACTTTGCCGATCCGGAATGTACCTTTTCCTACGTCGGCCTGAAATTGGATCCTCCTAGTACCGGTAGTACTCCTGGCAATAATAAGTGGCACCCTACGGTTCAGAAATTAAGAGAATGCGTCACGAGACTACTGGCGGTAGCTGGGCCGGATGATCCATCATCACCGAGTAATGAATCCAGCCGCCCATTATTGACGGCATGTCTGGTCAATCTGTATCCACAAAACAAAGGATTCATTCCTTGGCATTCGGACGAGATTCGAGCCCACGGCAAGGACAAGGTTGTGGCATCACTCTCCTTGGGAGGTCCCCGTCGATTTCAATTGAGACGTCGTCGTCGAGTTGACTCATGCAACCACCATACGGAAGAGGGGGAAACTAAGCCACGAATGGTGGCGGACCTATGGTTGCCTTCTGGATCCGTCTTGCTCATGAAGGGAGAGGTTCAAGAGCATTTCGAACATTGTCTCCCACTGGAACCAGAGATTATTGGTGATGATGCTGCTGCTGGTGATGATGCTGAAATGTCTTTTAAGAAACGCCAAGAAGATGTCACTATCAATCCATTGCGAATATCCTTGACCTTTCGTTCCATTGTGCCGGGATATGAAAGCAGCAACAATCGAACGATCGCAACGGACCAATAATGTTGAAACCACGCAGTATGTCGTCCAAACGTGGTCCTTTCCTACAATACGAAAACTGCGAGTGACCCAATCATGCTTATATTTGCAACAATACACGTACAACATGATCTAGTTTCAGGTAGACGATCATGAAGAGGTGGTGGTGCTTTCTTCTATACAGGTATATATATATATAAGATGCAATCCATATTGGATGCAAACGATCGACCGAGACGTCTCTATATTATAGCCGAAAAATGATGAAAACATAATAATAATGTGTTTGTTAAAAGTCCACTTCCTCTCCATCGCAAAGCTCCATGGACCCAGCCTGCAAATATTCCAAAACATCCGATCGTGGCAAATACCATCGACTTCCCTTGGTCAAGCTGACGGATCGTCCGCTGTCCAACACGACCGGCCCACCCAGTTTGGTCAACAAATCTTCCACGACCTTGACTTGGACCATGTGAGAGGTGGGTGGCAAAATGTTCAATTCCAAACCATATTCGGACGCGTATTGTTCCCGCAATTGTTGATAGTCATTGGCAAACTCGGCTTCGTGGGCATTGTTGTGTTGCGAGAACAAATTGTCTTCTTGTTGCCCGCTATTATTATTAGCCACCATGTCTTGAATGCGGTCCATGCGATGTTTGTGATAGGTCAACAAACACCGCTTTTGTCGTTCAATGGTGGCATTGTGCAACAAGATGGATGGTCGGGCGCTCATGCTGGGTTTCTTTTCATTGGTATTAGCATTGGTATTAGCGTTGTTGTTGTTGCTGTTGTTGTTTTCAACATCATCATCATCGTCCTCGTCTTCCTCATTGTCGGAATTGTTATCATTATAATCTTGCGACTTGGATTCACCGCCACCGCCACCACCACTGCCGCCGCCTTGCATCTGAACCGCTTGCATTTCTTCTCGCAACGTCTGAAAGGATCGCTGGACATCTTGAAAGCATTTGCGCACCAGCTGGGCATTGTAGGGTGCCAAAAAGTCACCGCCGCCGTCCGTGTTGGACGTAATGTTGGTGGTCCGCTTGAGTTCCAACATCAGTTCTTTGCCCGACGAGGGAATGCTAGCAGGTCGACTGCTGGAAGTGAGAGATGCCATGTTGTTAGTTCTGTTAGTTCTTTTAGTTCTGTTATTGGTTTTGTTGTTGTTTCTGGCAAAGAGACGATGAGACTATCACTCAATATAACATCGATCTCGTCTCGTCTCATTGCGTTTCACCTCCAAAATGACACTCTCGATTCATCCGATTCAACCGCACGCACACAAAAGTTGGGCGCGAACTTTGTACCGTCTTGCCTCCCATCGGATCGTGGTCAGCGATTTCCTTGGGCGTGCTGGCGCGCTAAAATTTTCGCTGATTACATCCGGCGATGCATCCAAGTTGCACTCGACCACAATTCTACTTTGCTGTTTACATACTGTTTGCGATTGCTTGCTTGATTCATTCATTCATTCGTTGCCTATTATATATTCCTGCACCTCCCACCAACATTCATCATCATCATCTTTCCAATCATCGACTACATCAAGATGATTGACGAAACCAACATTAGTCGAACGACTTCTACGTGCAATGAGGATCATCCTGCTGCTGTCGTCGTCGTGAACAAAACAAACAGCATTTCTGCCGCTGCTGTTGTCGACGAAGGAGAAGAATCATCCAGCATAATGACGACGACGACGACGAACAAGAAGAAGAAACCACCAACAACAACAACAACAACAACAAACGAAATCAGCATGACACCATCCTCACTACAAGGAGAAGGAGTAGAAGTAGAACAACGGGACATGATGGACATGCTGTTGGAACAAGCCAGTGAGGAGTTTCGAGTCCTACTCATTGAAGATCATGATGGATCGAATGGTGTGGATGAAGTGGAAGTGGTTCCAGAATTGAGGCAATCCTCTTCTTGCGAAAGTTCGGACGAATGGAGTGACAACGATAACGACGAGGACGACGACAACAACAACAACAACAACGACGACTCATCGCAACACCACCACCAAGAATCGATGGACGTAGTAGACACTGTCGGTGATTTGAAACTTGCAAACGACGGCGACGTTATGGTTGGCGATATCATGAAAGTTGACGACGACGACGACGACGACTCATCGCAACAGAATGAGCACCACCACCAGCAAGACGGAGACATTGTCAGCGATTTGAAATTTGCAAACGACGGAGACGTCGTGATCGGCGGTATCATGAAAGTTTACGACGACTCCTCATCATCGCAACACCACGACCACCAGCAAGACGGAGACATTGTCGGCGATTTGAAACTTGCAAACGACAGCGACGCCGTGGTCGGCGATATCATGAAAACTGACGACGACTCCTCATCATCGCAACGCCACGATCACCAGCAAGACGGAGACATTGTCGGCGATTTGAAACTTGATGACGATAATGATAATGATAATCAAAGTACCGATGAATGGGGTGACGAACAGAAACTATCCTTTGAAAAGGTCATGGATTTCATTGCCTTTCCCGAGAAGCACCTGTTCCAGTCACAACCTTCCCAAGAAGGGGTGGAAGTGGACAATGAATTGGGTGTCATGAATGTGGATACCGAGTATGGAAGTAGTGCTGCTGCTGCTGCTGCTACTCCTGCCGTTGTTGTTGTTGTGCAAGAGGAAAAGAAGGAAGAAGACCAAGAAGAACAAGCAGAGCAAGAAAAGGAGCAACTGACGGCTGCAGAGGAAACGACAGAGGAGGCAAAGGCAAAAATCAATGCAAAAACTACAAAGGCAAAGGAGACAGCCACCACTACCACTTTGTCACTGACTGTGGACACCACGTCCGTGGACGAGCCCTCCTCTGTGCCTCCTCCCAAATCTTTCGAACAAGAAAAAGAAGAAGAAGACTCCAAGAAAACTAATGATCCAGCAGAGGGCGAAGAATCTGTGGAAGTCGTCTTGCCCGCCGACCACAAGCTTGCGTCCAGCACCGAACCGCAAAATAGTTCTGACATGTCGTCTATGGTCACTACTACTACGTCTCCTCGCCAATGGTTTGCCAATTGGTTCCAACCCGATCAACGCATTGTCGCTACCGTCACGAAGGAATCCAAGAACGAACCGCTGGGTGTCTTTATCAAAAAGGTATTATTGAAAGATGGACTCTATATTTCCCAATTACAAGTGGGCAGCCAGGTGGCCTCCACGGACCTCAAACCCGGCATGAAGATTCTAGTCATTAATAGCATGCCTTGTCCGCAAACCGTCAAGGAATTTCGGGATTTGGTGTCGACCATGGAAGGTGAAGTGACCATTGTGGCCCAACTAGCAGAAGATGAAAATGAAGGTTTGGTGGTGGTGACCGTTTTCAAGGAAACCAAGAGCCAACCATTGGGACTTGTCCTAAAGAGCAGATTGTTCAAGGAAGGACTGGTGGTGGCCAAGATTTTGGATGGAAGTATCTTTTGCAATACCGCACTCAAGGAGGGAATGCGAATTATCCGTGTGAATGATCAACAATGCCCGGGCAGTGTGGATGCCTTTCGTGTGCTCTTGAAAGAGATTGATGGTCAAGTCAAGATTGTCGCCGAACCAACAGTCGCTCAGTGTCAGCAGGCGAAACAAGCAGCAGCAGCAGCAGCTGACAAGGAGAAGAAGACTGAAGACAAGGAGAAGGAAAAAGAAGACGAGAAAGAGAAGAAACCGGACGATTCTAACGACACTCCGGAAGTTGCATCCATGCCCAAAATCTTCAAGTACAATGGAATCGAACGAAAGGAAGTTGTCTGCAAGATTGTCAAGAATGGGACACACGAGCCATTGGGACTCTTGCTACGAGAATTCAAGGATGAAGAAGGAATCCATGTCCTCCAAATGGACGAGACTGCCAAATTGGGAGCCACTACGGCGCTCAAACCAGGAATGACGATTCACCAAATCAATGGGCAAAATTGTCCCAACAAGGTGGAAGAATGCATAAAGTTGCTTCGTTCGATCGATGGGCTGCTGACAATCGTGGCCAGCGAAATATATGAGGACTAAACAACAACAACAACAAAGAGGGACCTGCCCTTCTCTTCTTATTGTACAGAAACAACAAACAACAGATTAAACAAGAGCAAAAATAGAGAGGGACATCATAGACTACTAAAATTATGGGAAAGTTACTAGGAAATACTACTACGGTATACTGTAGTAACACCTTGCAAATCCCATTGAGTCGAAGTGGTCCATTATGCGGTCAAAAAACAGCTACAATACAGTAAATTATTCCGCCACCGGAAAGAGTTGCAGTATATAGATACGTAAAGCTGCGCTCATCATTTTCCGGTCAATAATGTCCGAACATGTTTGATAGTCAGCTGTCCATATGTTTCTGTCTGGACCAGAAGGTCTATCATAAATTCACCGTTGATCTATTTCCGAGCCCAACGTGACCATGAGCCCTCATCAGCAGCAGCTCACCAGTGAGACCACTTCTGAAAGAATGTGGCTTCAGAACGACCATTCTGATGGAATTTTAGCCACTGCAACTCCAACGCCATCAACGCTACTATCCCCAGAGGGAGGAAAGTTGTTCATGGAACAAGTTTCTAGCCAGATAAAGGGTTTTCTTGAAACTCTACCTTCCCGTGAAAAGAATAGCATGGCACTGGCTGATACAATGCTTGATCAAACTCCCATTGCTTCGAATAAAACTGTCGTGTCACCTATACGAAAAGCAGGCCTCCAGAAGAGCTCATCCGATCGCAGTCTTGGAAGTAACGACTTACTACCGACGATACCGTCTCGAATGCTGACGCCTCTCGACGGAGAGAAAGTTGTAGTTGCAGATGATGGTCAACTGAAGGACTTGCTTGATAATTTATCTTCCCCCGAAAAGAAAACCAAAGCACTGCCCAACACACTAATTGATGAAACTTCCATTGCTTCTAATAAGGCTGTGACATTTTCGCGAAGAAGAGGGTTCCAGAAGAGACCATCCGATCGCAGTCTTGGAAGCGGAAGTGCTGGAAGTGTTGATTCAACACCGACGCTGCCGTCTCGATTGCAGTCACCTCTTGACGGAGGGAAAGTCGTAGTTGAAGCTACTGGCCCTCTGGAGGACCTATTTGAGAAGTTATCTAGCGAAAGAGAAAACGAAGCACCGAGACCATCCGATCGCAGTATCCGAAGTGGAAGCAGTGTTGACTCAATACCGATGATTCCGGCTCGATGTTTATCACCCGAGGGGGAGAAAGGTTTCATGGAGGTGACGGATCAGCTAAAGGACCTGCTCGGTGGTTTGCGTTCTCGACACAAAGAAAAAGAGCCTCACATTGAAACTACCCGGTCATGGACACGAACAAACCGGCTCAAGAAGTCCTCGTCGGAACAAAATCTTGGAACACGAAGAGGAGGGCTCGAGAAGGCCTCATCGGAACGAAATCTTGGTACACGAAGAGGAAGGCTCAAGAAGGCCTCATCTGAACGAAGTCTTTCATGTGTTGATTCCACCCCTTTGCTGCCATCTCGTTTCCTATCCCCCGAAGGAAAGAAAGTCCCTATACAGGGTTCTAGTCAAAGAAAAGAAAGCTTACCTTGTCCTGATGAAAGAAAAAGCCCGCTATCAGCTGCCATGAAGATTGTTCAAACTCCTTTGAAAGCAACCAAATTATCGACAAGAGCTGTGGATTCTGAAATTGATATCCGAGAATTCATTCTGGGTAGGATACCTGATCATGTCAAGGATCTGCTATCGATGGAACAGTGGTACAGGATTCTTGATCCAATCAAGGGGACAGGAACTCGAACTACAAATTCAGACATTCCAGACGACGCTAATGCATTCCATGAAAGTGAAAAGATGGAAGTATCCAAAGCGGCTGGTAGTGCTCTCCAGCAAACAATGGAGCAGGAGACCAAGCTGGAAATCGTTGAAAGAGATGAACCGTCATGGATGAAAGCGCACGAAATTACACATGATACGCTCGATTCTACTGAAGAAGAGAGAAAGCATCAAGAAGTTGGAGAAGATCAAGACGACTGTTCGCTCTTTACATCAAGTGGAGAATTTGTCAAGTCGAAAGCGCATGATCTAAATTTCAATACCGCAGAAGATACCGCAGAAGAGGATAGGAATGCACGCAAAAAGAAGAAGAACTCTGTGTCGTTTGGAAACGCACAAATCCGATGGCACGAGCGAATCCTGGAGGTCCATCCATGCACCTCATCGGGACCAAGCGTTGGCATTGGATGGGAGTGCATCCACGAGAGCGAAGAACGCATTCAATGGAATCGCCGACGTGGAGTAAGACTCCGCCTCGATCGTGAGGAGCGAGAAGAGATAATCAAGGAGCAAGGCTATTCGACTAAGGATATTGCCTGCTCTGTCAGAGAAATTTTGAAAATCAAGAAGCAACGGCGAAGGACCTACCACAACGTAGTTAGTAACCCTGTGAAAGTTGAAAAGATTGAATACATTGCCGAGAAATGCAACCGCAAGATTCGAAAATTGCACAGGAAATTCTCCGTCCATGTCAAGAAGTAAATATAATATTATTAACAATAGATTTTGTATGAAAACATTTTGTCGCAACCGTTGTTATTAGAGACTTCTGTCTTGTTGTTCCAATCAAGCCCTAGAGTGGAAGAAACTCATCCGGAATGATACAGTACTACCCGATACTATGACCTTTCTCTCGTAATCGTCAGACCACCTTTGTAGGATTGTCCATCCACACGTCTGCACTTCCCATTAGGCCCAACCACTACAGCTAAATATCCACAATGGGACCCGGAGGCAAAAAAATTGCGGCGAGCCCGGGCGAACCACGTACGTTTTGGGTAGTTTTACAGTCGAGATTCAATATCTATCGTAACCCTCCTCCCCCCGTACAACATCAAACACTGTGGGAAAAGACATACAATAATGATAACTACTATCAGAAGAAAGTGTTCGTACATAAGGTTTCTTTAGAATGTCCAAGGCTCCCAAGGCTCTCATGTGTCACAGAACAAAGCAGCATTACCCCAGAGGTGGGTATGCACAGTCACTTTGCAGGAACCGCGACATCTTGCAGCGAACCGCACGTCCATTTCTAGATTGTATTACAGCAGCACAAACAGCCTGCAAAGTAGCGCTTCCAGTAAACTGGCCGTCGCCTCATGCGTATTTTGGTTGGATACATGTTTGATCCTCAATGGTAATTATTCGTCTGAGTAAGCAAGCATGGGACTCTAAAAGTTTCCACCGCTCCACTAGTATCTCTGAATCATTCTTTTGACCATCTGAGAACCACCCATTCTGCCAGTCATAATATTATAGATATTCCCACGTCCAACCGTAAAGTTGATTGCTGACTCCTCCCTTGCTTGATGCATGTTGTACCATAGTAATCGATAGTGCACATAAAAACGGATCTCCACTCCTTATCATGATACTCCTAATATCCCCAAGCTTGGCAAACACTTTCTCTCCGGTGTTTCAAAGATGGTTGCTCCACAGTCTACGTCCAGGCCAACACTAGATAATGTCATACACTTAGCGTGCCCGCTGGATTGCCAATCAAAATTCATCGTTGTCTGCTGCTTTATTTCTGCCATGCGCTGCTTTAGGTATTGGTGCCTTTGAAGCGGTGGTTCGCGCATGCTTTGCATTTCCACTTTGATCAAGCTTATTGTCAATAAAATCGGTAGGAAGACCTCTCTGCTACCATTGTGATTCCTTTGTCCAAATCTGTTTCATCAATTTCTCCTTTAGTGAACTAATTCCATCGCTTGGATCGTGGTGGTTGATCAGTTTCGCCCGGATTAGCCTGGTTCTCCATACTACAGTGGCTAGTTGAATTCGATGTGCAATCTGAAATCGAGGCAATCTCTAGTCCTTATGTGCAACACGGCGCCCATTTTGGTGAAGAATGGTGCCAAATCCGACCCTTGGCATCTAGAATCGGCCACATACAATACTCTGACTGCAAAGATTTTTACAATCAAAGTGACTGCTCTTGCTGGGCACGAGAATGACTTGCCCAAAACAAGGTGTCCGAGCTTGAGACGTCCATTGAGATTCTTGGCCTGATCCGTGAGGTGTGATTGTTGTGTATATCCCCAGCTGATACGATGCTGTACTCGTACCGGTACGCACGGTACTCGTGAAAATTCTTCGTGCGCCGCAATTTTTTTGCCTTTGGGGGTCCCATTTGAATTTCCATATGTACTTCTGGAACACGTATGATACCAAGTACAGCAGTGTACGAGTACTGCTAGTGGAACTGGTGGACGTGATAGTAGGCAGCCGATCAATACCGAACACAAAAGAGAAATGACTATTTTGACAAAGAGGCCCGCACGAATTCTGATTTGACGGCGGAAGTTTTAACATTCTATCACGCACGCGTATTCGAATCGATATTTTATTTGTCATTCTTAAATCGTATGTTAAGGAACGGTGACCAAAGCGAACGTCGACCAAAGCGAACGTCGGTACACTATGTGTAACTTCCACCTCCAGTTCGGAGTTTGTTAGGAAAATGACCGCAAAGTACCCGGTACTCAATGAAACCAGGTATCCTCACTGATAAGAAAGATTTCAAAAAGGCTCTGTTTTTACAACCCGTTCTTCGTCGGAACTTTGACCGCTTTTGCAATTGCACTCGCATTTGCATTCATTCCGTCCCCCATTACTCTCAAAAGGAACAACGAAGTATCCAAGACCATGAGTAGGGATTTTAGCAATGGTAGTACGGGTTCACGAAGCAGAGCATCTCTTCACAAACCCTTATCCAATCGAAGCCTTATAGACTCTATTCCAACAACTCCAACTCGATTGCCATCTCCAAATGGAAATAAGATGGGACGTCGGCTATCTACGAGCTCGATTTCCAACAAGTCATGGCAAAGCAGCGCTGGAAGTTCCCGAGTCTCACGTAGATCGAGCATGGATGCCTTACCGATGTTACCATCTCGCTGTCTTTCACCCATGCAAAACGACAAAATTGTAGTAGAAATATCGGACCAAGTAAAGGATTCTCTCAAGGCCTTTCCATTTCCTGATTCGGAAAGCAGACTAAAGGCAGCTGTGGGAGTTGTGCATTCTCCTATTGCTGCCACAGAGTCGTCCTCAGAATCCCGGGATTCATCCCGCAATTCGAGACCTGTTCCTCAAGTCAACCCTGAAGTTGACCCTAGATTACTCCTGCTGTCTAGACTTCCTCAGCATATCAAAGATCAACTACCAGAGCAAGAATGGTATAAACTCATGGAACCAGCAATGAGTGGATCGGAGTGCCTTTCTGTTCATTCTGATATTTCAGATGACTTGTTGTCTTTGGACAATTCACATGTCACACCTACTCTTGTGCCAGAAGCAGCTGAAGCCCAAGTACATGATGATGTCTACGGCACTGATGACGAAGACAGTACGTCACGCCCGAAAATAAAAGGCAACCAAGAAGAGTCCAAAATGGACCGTGAAGCTATCCACAGCACTGAAGATCAAAGTATAACTCAAGACGATGAAAACGATACAGGATCACAGTACAAATCGCCCATATCTGGTGGTTCCAATAAGCCTACCGAACAACAAGATAGTAAGCCACAATACCTCAAAGGAGACAGATGGATGGACTCGCATATATTGGCATACGATGCTATCTGCTGCACCGATGATGAAAGTAAGCAGCCAGAGATGGAAGACGAACCCGAAAGTGCACAAGAAGAAAGAAATAGCCCAGGCAAACAAAAGAAACGAGTTTCCTTTGGCAATGCCCAAGTCCGCTATCATGAACGTATCCTCGTGGTGCACCCGTCTACGTCATCGGGTCCTAGCGTTGGGATTGGATGGGACTACACAGAAAGCGAAGAAGCCATTGAATGGGGCAACCAAACTTCCGAGGAAATGCGTCTGACTCGCCGTATGCGAGAAGAGATAGTCGGCGAACTCGGCTATTCGCAACGCGATGTTGCCAAAGCGGTCCGAGAAACTTTGAAAATCAAGAATCAACGAAGAAGGACCATCAACAACTTGAAGGCTGCCGTTGTGAACGTGGAAAAGGTGGAATCGATGGCTGAGAATGCGCAACGAAAGATTCGAAAGCTACAAAAGAAGTTCCGCATTAGAAAAACATCTTAATTACTTATTAGAGATACACATTTTGAAGCAACAGTGGTGCTACTGGTAAACTGACTTCGCTAGAAGTTGAATGGTTCACAGCTACCACCACATTTGGTGCATTCTCATTCGTTCTGCAAAACACAAAAAGCTCGTGTAATCGTAAAAGTGTCTGTACGTAACACGAAATATACTACATTAGTCCCAAATGATAAACCTTTTCTCTATTTCTCTCTGATCCATGATGCTGGGACATCGCAAAATTCGGTTCGCTATTTGAAATGGCATCCAAGACAGTCAATGAACGCCAATCGTGAAAACAGTCACTTAATATTAAAAGTGCAACAATGTTTCACAGAATTTTTTCACCACAGTGTCAATTGATATTGCTGATTTCCCTCACGAGCGTAATCTTCGCCAGCTGTCAACAGTGCGAACCTTGCACAAGAAACGATGCTGGTGAGGTGGAAGAACCTGGTCATGGCGGAAGTGGTGCATTCAATTGCGATATCGCCGCAATCGAAGCACAATCATTTGATAACGGGACCGCTGCTTGTCGTGACCATCAGCTTATGATGTGGCAGAGGAACTGTTGTCCAGATCCGCCAAGCAACCACTGCTCCATGTGTGATACTTACAACGGAGACAAGGTGGTCCCACGCTTTGAACATCAACAGTTTGGATCCCCAGATATCAATTTCACCTGTTCCAATGTGGCAGAAAGAATAACGTATCTTGATCGCGATGGAATTTTCAGTGAGGTAACTAGAAACTGTGATTGTCTGGATGGCAATTCATTCACTTTTGCTGAAACAACGTTCGCTTTTGTTTTAGTATGGAAATTGTGATCACACGGAGCGCGGTCGAGCAAGAGCCTGGTGCGAATGTGAGGGAACCTTCCCTGATTGCACTTTGAAGTGTCCCGATGGCTCGGATATTCCCGACCCAAACAAGGCAGATCCATTGTTTGGAGAAACTTGTGCTCGTTGGATGTTTGAAACAACGACCCTGCCACAAGAAGGATGCGAAAATATCGAAGACAGCCTTTTCTTCTCGGCCATCTCGTTTTGTTGCAATTTGCCGCCGCCAAAAACATGTTCTATCTGCCCCGAAGGAGAGGAGCTAACCAATTCCACAGAAGAAGTCTTTCGTGGGAAAACCTGCGCCGAGGTGCAAGAGTATGCAGATTGGCTACCAGACGACTCTTGCACAGGTTGGTTCAGCCGACTCATGGACGATCCGTTTGATCCAACAGCAAAATGCTGTGTGGTATCGCTCAATTCTGGCGGCGGTGCTACCGATGATACGACCACTGCAACAAGCGAGGCAAGAGGAGGCGCTACTTTGGGACTAGCTTTTACCTTGTTACTATTGATACTTCCACACGTTGTGGTCCAGTAGCAGGCTTGGAGATCTTTGAGTGCACATGGCGGCCTGAACTTGAAATAGGCTTAGAATATGTTTTGCTCAGGCAAGCAATTAATGTAATTGAACAATTCAGCTGCTTTCTCATGGAGTACCGTGTCGTCAGAGGTTGACCGATCAGCTGTAGTCAGATGAGTGAGGACTGTCAGACCTTTTGGGAACGGTGGTAACTCGTTTCCCATTAGTTGTAGCAGAGGTCGCCAGAGTGCGTCACAGTTTGAATCTGCCAACCGTTTCATAGCTACCATGGCTTTATCTCCAATAACTGGTCCAAAGTGGCGAGTATCCAAGAATGGCAAAATAGTAAATGCCCCCGCTGATAGGACATCATCTGACAATTTTAGTACACGATAAACTCTACCGAGGCAGTCAAGCATTGAAACTATCAACTGTCGCTCAGAGTCGCTGATATCACCGAATTTTTCCAAAAGAATACTCTCGCCATGTAAATCTGTAGCATCGAGGGAAGGTTCGCTTTGGTGAGATTTGAATTGAATGATGAATCCAAGATAGCGAGCAATTGCTGGCCACACTTCTTTCGCAAAGCGATTTGTCATGAAGTCTCCACAAGATTCACAGACTACAGTTGTCAGCTCGAGCAATGCTGCAAGAGAATATAGGGTGGTGGCAAGATCTGCTTGAGAAGCGATCGATGGCTCGATAGCAATGGAAGATATGTTGACTTTTCTCGATACGAGGGCATTATCGGTAAGGTTATGCAGCCTTGCCTTCAATGAAGGCCACGACGTGGCAGCCTGTTTCAGAACGGCATTCTCTACCCCGCTGTCGTCACCTCCAGTTTGCTGCCATATCATGAGACGAACGAAATTTGTCAGTTGACTACAGCATTTATTGCTTTTTCGATCACGGTTCACAACTTACAGCACTTCTTGAAAAGCGTGCTAAGGCTCGGTACGCCAATGACAGAGCTTTACAAGCCGACACCTGCAGTACGAGGTTGGAATTTGATAGAATATAGTTCTCTCTTGATATGATCTTTGAGATAAGATGAAGATCGTCAATGCAGATTCCAGAATATTGTGGTGGAGGCATTTCTTCGGCCACCGGCGACTTCCTTTGGAATATGGATGGGGATGACTTCTCATACGGCGACAACACATCAAGCCATGGTCTAGAATTCTGCTTGATGGCTGCGCTTAAATTTGCTGATTCGTAATCATTCTCGGAGAAAGAGTCACCTAGGTGTTCTAAGTAAGTTCGATGAAGGGCAACCAAATCTTGAAAGGCAAGCTCCGAGAGTGGATTGTGGATTGCCATACGATCAATTTTCCCTTCAACGAATGACAGCAAGTCAGCAAGACCCCTAGTCACTTCTGCCGAAGAATTTGTCTGAAGGAGTACCCATTGCAGTGTTCTCATTGCATCTCTCAAGAATGTCTCGTTGGGTGTAGACTGAAATAAAGCACGCAATCCAACAAGCACTGTGCTCATATTTTGCTCAAATAGCTCTGACAGTGTCGGCACCCCGCATGCCTTCGCTAGAGTTAGAGCTGTATCCTTTGCTGTAGCGTTTACCATGGCATTGTTTCGCTGGCTCGCCTTTTCGATGATTGGGCACAGCATGACATGTGTCAATACTCCTGAATCGCCACCCAAGACATCGAAAAAAGCCGATGCGATCCTCAGGACCAAAACTATGACGGAAGCATTTCCACGGAAAGCTCTTGGAATTGGAGCACCTGGTTGCGATGGATGCGCACTTCCTTCCATTGTCCTTATTTTCCACAACGACGCATCGACGAGAAGTGGGAGACATGATGATGCAAGCGCGAGCAGACATTTTCGTTCTCTCCTCGATTCTTTTCTCGAGACGGTTTGGTGGTCCGTTGCAAAAGCTCCTCTAATTACCTGGAAAATACCAATGCGCAAAACCGTGAGATTTTTATCTTTATCAAGGCAAGCTTGAAGATTGTCGGAACTAACCTCTTCGCAAACCACAAGAGTTCCAACGTTTTCGTGGAAGAACTCATCTTCAAAATACTCGGAACAAGCTAAATGCTGAAAACTGCTTTCACAGAATTCTGATAGGAGCGTATCTATCAGTCGGGACCCATGTTTCCAACCAATAGTAGCGCCAAGATGTCTCAGCATATTCCGAAAAAGCAAAGCCGAGTCCTTGTTTAGATGGTGGAGAGGTACTTTTGTGATCGATTCTCGACCCTTCGCTACTTTTTCAACACTTTGCGTGCTGCCGGATGATGCTAAATCAACATCCCCCAATGCTAAAAGTCGGTTTCAGGAACGAGTCAGTCAGCGAGAACGAATGTGATGAGTGCATGGACTAGCAGTAGACTTACCAACAAGCGACGCCCTAATGCTCATGGATGCAGCAAGAGCTACCGATCCATCTGTTCCAAGGCATCGGATATACCCAGTAAGGAGTTGCAATTGCATTCGCATTTCTGTGTGCTTGTGCGCATTAGCCATGTCAAGGGCTTCTCCTGCTAATGACTGTATTCGAGGTATCATCCATGATTTATCGTGTTGGGAGTTTTGAAAGGATAAAATGATAGATTCCAATCGCGTCGACACGGTCTCTAAAAGTTCAATCATAACACAACCAACGTTTTTAGCACATTCAGGATATGACCAACAAGATAAGCCTCCCTGTATTACCTGTCGTATCATCGGACTGTAGAATGAGACAAGAGTCAAATGCGTGCTCAAGAAGCGATGTTGACTCCCAACAATCCCCAGACTCCATTAAGACTGTTTCGCATAGTGATGCCAACTGTATTCGGACGCTCTCTGCTGGAGACAGAACACACTGCCTCATCAAATATGTCAAGGGGTCAGATAACCTGTTTCTCAACTCCGATAGGAACTCGTTTTCAGTCTTCATCCCGGTCCGACGTAAACCTCCTATTATCCCTCCAGGTGCAGTTAGCTTCGACTTTTTGAGGATCTTCGTTTGAATATCATTGTTCGAATCGATTTCTACAAATGACGAAATCGACACCTTTATCAGCTCTTCAATCACTTTTAGGCTTTTTGCCTGAATCTGAGTTGAAAGTCCAGCGCTCGCTTTAAGACCTGATGCGGTCAGTCTGCGATATATCGAGGCAAATATCCCAGGGAAAATGCGCTGCCACAACTCGCTTGTTTTGACTTTGGCCATCAAACCATCGAGAATGTCTAGTGTCAGCAGATTCAGATGGTCATTTTCTACCAGTGAAAGTACAGAAGTTCCAAAGTCTACGATTTTGATGACAAGATCGCCATTCCATTTGTCGTAGAGTGACGCACCAGAGCACTCTTGTATCAAGGCCTTGATTGCTCCCGACAAGGACATGAACACTTCCAAGCCGTTGTCCAAATCTCCCCCCTCCAAGTTCGTGATTGGTGCGGGCAATACGCTGGCCATAGCCACCAAGAAATTAATGATATGACTATCCTTGAGGTGGTGCGTGTCGTTGTTTGAGCAGCAAATCTGAACGTAGGTCTGAATGGCCTCTGACACGCCCTGCTGAAGTTTTCGGACATGACTGACCAATATTCTGTGCTGTGGACCGAGCTCAGGAGCAGTAGTAGAACTTGCGAATGACACTGAAACATGCAAAATGGCATTCAAAGGTAGAGATATGTAGTCTGCAAGAACTATCAACGCCGGGGCAGCGGGACCGCCCAACTGATTGATGACATCTGCCAGATTTCGCAAGATTTGAATTTGGGATTGGACCAGCTGTATCAAAAACGAATCATCTTGGTTTCCAGATTCGACAATTCCTTGGAATCTAGAAACAAGGGGAAGCAATGTTTGTAACAGAGGGTCTATGCGCCGGAAAACTAATTTAATTCCGTCCTCGCCATCCATAGTCAGTATCCCGTGAATTGAAATACCGTCAGGAAAATCTGACAGCATTTAAACGTTGGGTCTAATGAGTCGTCAATCGCTGGGGCCTTTTCATATTATATCATAGGTACTTGGTACCAGGTACCGTCACAGACCCAAAATGCAGCGCGCGGAATTCCGGTGATCCTTATTGTTTTCCAGTGAGAGCGAGAATGATCTTTGTTTTCCAGTGAGAGACTGCGATGTGGCGTCATTGTATCGTACAGTACCAGTACTCCAAACGTCGTTTTTGATAAAAGAAGATGAAACCTTTGTTTCACTTTTACCTAAATGTCAAAAGGCAAAGCCGTACGTGAAACAATGGACGAGACGCTTCTCAATGGGACAGAGGAAAGCAGTGATGCTTCCGAAAGCTTCTTGAAGACAACTTCAAACCTAAGGAGAGATCGATCTCAAGAACCAATGATCTTTCTTGGAAAGCCAAGGGCAAAAGAGACGGAAGGAAGGGGGGTTCTCAATCGGCAAGCAAACCGTGATCCCTCAATGGACGAGAACCTTAATGGTGGGATATCTAGCATTGACACTTCCCAAATCTTCAAGACGAGTTCCAAAATGAAGAAATCTGGATCTCACGAATTGATTCGTCCTGGAAAGGCAAGGCCAAAAGAGACTGAAGACAAGGCCTCTCTAAACTGGCAAGCATACAGTAAAAACTCATTGGACAAGAAGCTTCTCAGCGATAGGAATAAGCGTTCAAAATTGAGGAAATCTGGATCTCAAGAATTGATATTTGTTGGCACAGAAAAGTCAAGTGGGATGGAAGACAGGAGTGCTCTCAACGGGCAAGCAAACAATAAGCACTCGTTCGAAAAGAAGCCTCTCAGAAGGACAGCAAGCATTGATACTCCCCACGGTTTCAGGATGAGTTCAAAATTGAGGAGATCTGGATCTCACGAATTGATTCGTCGTGGAAAGGCAAGTCCAAATGAGAAGTTAGATAGGGGGGCTCTCAACTGGCAAACAAACAGTAAGCACTCGTTCGAAAAGAAGCCTCTCAGAAGGACAGCAAGCATTGATACTCCCGACGGCTTCAGAACGATTTCCAAAATGAGGAGATCTGGATCTCACGAATTGATTCGTCGTGGAAAGGCGAGGCCAAAAGACGAAGACAGGGGTACTCTCAACTGGCAAGCAAACAGTAAGCACTCATTCGAAAAGAAGCCCCTCAGAAGGACAGCAAGCATTGATACTCCCGACGGCTTCAGGACGATTTCCAAATTGAGGAAATCTGGGTCTCGCGAATTGATTCGTCCTGGAAAGGCAAGTCCAAATGAGAAGTTAGATAGGGGGGCTCTCAACTGGCAAACAAACAGTGATCACCTTCCTCGTTCGCAAACTTCAGAACATCCACAAAGACCTCGATCCGATCGATCATTGCTTGACCTTGGGTCAAAGGGGGGACACCAATTGATGTCTCCGTTGGGAAAGAAAGTTTTATTGAAGAACAATCTTCGAAGACTTGAGCAACACAACAGTCGTGGTTCTCTTCTAGACCCTAGACAAAGGCTACCCGATCTAAGCCTTGATCCATCCGACGAATCTGTGGAACCTACAGCAGGCAACGCGAAATCTGCCATTTTGGAAAGACTACCAACGCATATCAAAGAACAGTTATCGGAGGAACAGTGGCAGACAATCTTGGAACCAAAGAAGTTTAGAGAATCTACAGCTTCTATTTTTGGTCGTCAGCTTCCCTCACCTACCCACACAAAGTCAGACAAGGTGTATGATGCTTTGTACTGTACCGAAGAACCTGGAAGCAAAACCCAATATATTCGCGATAGACCAAGGGCAGAAGAATCTAAGAATGAAAAGGAAATTGAAAATGTGGGTTCGAAGAGGAGCAATCAGCACTCCGTTTCCTTTGGAAGAAGCGTATCCATCCGAAGGTATGAGCGAATACTTGTGGTGCATCCCTGTACGTCCGAGGGGCCCAGTTTAGGAATCGGGTGGAACTATATTCAACTCTCGGAGCCAATTGACTGGATCCAATCACGTGGTGGGGACCTCCGCCTCAGTCGTGAGCTTCGAGAACGAATGGTCAAGGAGTTGGGCTATTCAACAAAAGAAGTTGCCTCTGCTGTCCGAGCAGGCCTGAAAATCAAGAATCAAAGACGAAGGACCATCAACAACTTGAAGGCCAATCTTATGAACGTTGAAAAAGTGGAATACATGGCAGAGAAATGTCAGCGAACGCTGGGGAAACTAAAATCTCAATTTCTCATTTCACCCACAATGTGAAAACCTGATGAGAGGAAGGGGATTAGTTTCATATGCGCATTGAATGACTAGCACTCAAAGTGTTAATGATACCTATTAAGCAGTATACCCTTGTTGCTTTCATTGTGGACGTAGTGCAAAGATTGTGGCCGTCGAAGAAGATAGAATTCAGTTCCCAAGTTTCCCCATCTATTATTTGCAATGCAAATCAACAACTATTAATAGCAGTAAAATCGAGCAATTATTTCATCAAAGGAAAGGCAGAAGCCGTCTAATTTAAAAACCCTGCCCGTTCTAATATGCAGTTATCCCAGGGTAGTGCATCCACTACGCCAAAACAGCAATCCGACCGAAAAATCGTTTATCCCAGTCATAAAATCGCATCAAAGAGTGAAATGTAAAAACAAAGGGGCAATCCAGCGGTAAAGGGGAATTCCCAAAGGCGTAGAGCCAAACATCCCTTGCCGCAATCAAACCTCCGAATCCAGTAGCATAACAATAGGGGCAATCCGTAGAAGTACAGAGCCTCGCATCCCTCGCCATGCTGCTTCGAAAGACGAAAATTCAATCATCAAGCTACATATTCTCCGTAGTAGTGAAGTAAAAGGGCATTGCTCTGAGCATAGAGCCTCACATCACTGAATTCACTTCCAGAAGATGGGGCAATCCGTAAATGAGCCACACACTTGTCACCTCAAAAGAACCTGATTTCGAATCCATGCACCAAGTTTATTTCCTCCATTCCTCTCCACTTTGAACCGTCTTGAGCCCACGACCCTTGCGAATAGCTTGCTTGACCGTCTTCATCAACTTCTTGTTGAGCAAAAGAGGGACAGCCATCTTGGTCATGTTGGCTACTGTAAAGTCATCAGGGATGCCAAGGACGATCTCTGATTCCTTAAAGCAGTAATCTTGAAGCGCCAAGGCGTTGTCCAATTGACGCGAATTCTCGGTTTGCAAAAGAGCATTGAATTTCTTGGTACGGAAAGCATCATTGGTTGCCAGCAAAGGAACTTGTTCTAACAGCACTTGAACGGTAGTCGACGCGTCCAGTGGGTATTCAGCGTGCAAGAATTCAAACTTGCGGTCCCGGGGACTGAGCAACATGACCACGATCCTGGAGGCATAGTTGGCTTCACGTTCGATAACGTGTTCCTTGGTCAAGGCATGGCCTTCCTCATCCGCAAAGCGAAGCTTTCGATTTTCCTTGAGGGCACATAGTTTCTTGACGACTTTCCCTTCACCGTCCTCTAGTTCAGTATCCATTACCGAGCTAGGAGAAGGACAGTTTTGAGGGTCCGTGTTCTCATCAGTGGCAGCAGCATTGTCGCTGGCATCGGCCTTGGGTTGCTTGGTGGTAGCATCATCGGCAGCGGCATTGAGCTTTCTCTTGACAGGCGTTTGCTGCTCCAAACGAGCGCGTTCCACAGCATCGGGAGTTGGTGGTGTAGCAGCTACAGATGCAGCAGGCTTGACCGGAGTTGCTTGCTCCATGCGAGCAAGCTCAACAGCATCAAGTGGTCTTGGAGATTCCATGGCAGTGGATGCGGATGAAACTGATTGGTCGCCAACCGGAGTAGAAGGGGCAGCCGAATCTTCCATGGGTGCCGCGCTGGTATCAACGGCCATTGCAGGAGCTGCATCATTGGGCTGATCTTCCGCCACGCCGTCACTCACAACTGGAGCAACAGGGGCAGGAGAGTCTTGGGGAGCAGTCTCAGTAGTCTTGGCTACCACACCTTCTGGTTCCACCACAACAACTTCGCTCGGTGACTCAGGCTTGGATTCAGGTTCAACCTGGACGGTTTTCTTGGCTTGGACTTGCGGAGATTCTCCTCGAGAAGGAGTATCCTCACCAATTTCAGGAATTTGCGATGCACTTTCCTTAACTTGGGTAGAGACGGGGTCTTCTTGAGAAGTTTCTTGTTCACTGGCAACACCTTCTTGGACACGGTCGGCTGGAGCTTCCTCCGCACCTTTTTGAGAACCTTGTGGCTCGCTGGTAACGCCTTCGCTCGGAGCTTCAGGTGTTTCATCTTGAGTTTCCACGACTCCTTCTTGTCGTAGCAACGACGAGGTCGACGCCTCCTTTGCGTCATGGTCGCCATCAGCTTCCAGATCGTCTCCAGCGACTTCAAGAGAATGCTCAGACTCGTCTTTTGGTTCCTCGGTCACAGCCGCAGCGGTAGGTTCTTCCGCCGCTGGTTCCTCAGTTGGTACTTCTTGTGACGCTGGTTCCTCAGTTGGTACTTCTTGTGTCGCTGGTTCCTCAGTTGGTACTTCTTGCGTTGCTGGTTCCTCAGTCTCCGTTGTTGGAGCTTCCGATGTTGCTAGTTCCTCAGGTGTTGGTACTTCCTCACTTCCAGCAGGTGTCACTTGTTCCTCAGTCTCAGTCGATGTTGCTGGTTCCTCTGTTGTTGGTACTTCTTCAGTCATAGGCGTCGATGATTCCTCAGCTGGTGTCGCTGGTTTCTCAAATACAGCGGGTGCCTCAGCGGTTGATACTTCCTCAGTTGCGACCGGTTCTACTGCTTCCTCAGTCAAAGCTGGTGACGGTGATTCGTCGATTGCCTTTGGTGTCGAAACTTCTATTTCTGCTTCCTCTGTCATTGGTGCCGAGGGTTCCTCTACCACTTGTGGTTCTTCGCTGGCAGGTAATTCCTCGGTGGTTGGTTCCTCTGTCATAAGTGCCGTTGCTTCTTCCTTTGGTGGGGTTGACGTTTCCTCCAGTGGCTCTTCCGCTGCAGGTTCCTCGTCCACTTCCTTCGCCGCCTTTTCCGGTGTGCTGACCACACTTTCGACAATTCCCGTGGCAGAAACCATCGAGACATTGGCGGGAGCATCACTGGGTGCAGGAGCTGCTTCTTCCACAGCTGCATCACTGGGTTCTGCAACAACAGCTGCGTCATTTTCTTCCACGACAGCAATAACTGACTCCTTTTCTTCCACTGATGCGGGAACATCACTGGCTGGAGCAGCATCCTTTTCCACTGGAACCGGAACATCTGGAACCGGAACATCACTGGGTTCTGGAACCACAGCGGCATCCTTTTCTTCCACAGCAGCAGCTGGGGATGCATCGCTCGCATCCAAACTTGGTACAACTGGAAGAGCAGCAGCATCTGCCGGAAGCGATACTTCGCGCTTTCCAAAAGGAGACGCTGGAGTAGGAGAAGGAGGTGGAGACTCTTCCAAGAATTTAGAAAGTCGCCATTCCCTGGCACTTCGATCCAGTGGGAACGTACCGGCATGTGAAAATGATGTTGTGGTATTCGATGTATGCTCGGAATGATCTGATAAATTGGAGGAAGAATTTTCAAAATGAGGTGTTTCGCGAGGCGCAAAGGTCATGATTTCTGCCATTTCCCCTTGATCTGCTGATTGTGCCTCCTGAATCCCGGACATTTCCTGCTTCACAGCCGAAGGCTTGCGTTGACGTTCTGGCGATCGTCGAAAGGACGGAGATCGTCTATGGGAGGAGTCGTCATTCGAGTGCTGTTCATGCTGCTCCGCCTTGTTTTTGATAAAGGTTTCCAAATTCATATTTCGATGAAAGGTCTGTGGGAGTGACTCTTCAATCAGAGCCAGTTGATCACCAAAGTTGTGCTGCAAAAAGTTGAGTCGATGTCGTATGGTTCCTGGTTTGAAATCGCTTCCAAAACTTCGTTCGAGCCGTCTTTTGCGCATCCGAGCCGACAATTTTTGCTTCTTTTTACCATGGGCTCGGGTATTTCTGACAGGTGAATTAGTGGGAGAGAGGCTAGCAACAGAAGACCCAGATGGCCTTCGACCAACGGCCGAGTCATGCTCTCGTTTGCCTAATGAAGACTCTCGGTCCAAAACGAAAATGTGTTGGGGTTTTTGAGGACCATCGTCCACATGATCCTGCGAAGAAGACATCTGTTCTTCCATCAGAGCGTTGCTGTCATCCTTGCTAACAACGTCTCTAGAATCATTCAGTTCGTCGTTTTCAGGTTGTTCCATAGAGGGATACAACATGTTTTCATCACCAATGTGAGCTTGTTCAATAACTATAGACATGACAGCGGCTCAAAGAACGGAACTAAACCGAATAGAATTGAAAGCTGGTGATTCGTATTGTGTTCGTATTTGTTCTCTTCCTTTTGGATGAAAGACCAAAAGTGTAAAATTGAAGAAAGGACTCTTGTGTGATTTGAGCTTTCTTGTTTCAATGTATACAAGAGCACGAGTGAAATGACTGCTGCTGGTTCGTACTGGCTGGTGGTGTCTTGATTCTCAACAACCAAGCTGTCTTTCTTCACTCGGATAATGCAGCAGCAGTTGCAGCGGCGGTGTCTCTCTCCAGCTCGGCGGTTGGGTTTACGTAGGTACTTTTCAGTACTGGGCCTAATCCTCCATCAATACGTACTCTGGGTCATCCGTCGTTCCGAATACGACTGTTTCCGTACGACTTGCACCTGATGGTCCAATCACAACCAATCACAGAGCTCCGAGAAATCGTCGAAGCCTTCAACGTACTTTGCGTTTAAGCGATTGCGCGCATGCCATTGCATGCTCTAAATTTATCACATATGCACATAGCATAGAAGCAGGTCGTGCCACCTCGCCAAATCCACTTTGAAAGAAATTTCGCAAATGACCATGTGGACGGTGTACATTTTTACCGGTATAAATGCCTACCGTATTTCTACGGGAAATTGAATCTTCAATGTCCAGAATGTGTCTGGATATTTTATTGGGCCGGTCTTCCATTTGATTCCACAATTGCGACAGGAGTGAGATGTCACATGAGATGCTAGTTTTTGCAACGACCATTCTCACAAAACCAACAACGAACCTTTCTTTGTCATATCCAAAACCCAAACGATGCAAAAACAAGATCCAACCTACGGTACATAGAAAATGACAATGACAACGAAGAAAACAACGAATCCAAAAAGATTTCGAATTGGATTTGAAATTATCTTTCTGTTCATCAGTTCCCTATTTCTGGTATTGCTGTTTCTTCAGAAGCAATATTTTTTCAAAGCTGCCTTTCCTCCTCCGATTCCAACCAGCAAGCAGAATGATCCATCCATACTACTTCATTCACGTTCCAACATCTCGACGACGAGACGCCAATACATAGATGTGGAATCGAAATCCGTCATTGCGCACGACATTCAAGCCATTTGGCATGACCCCTCGATGAAGGCCATTTGCATTCAATTTACTATGGGCAATGCTCGATGTCCACATGCCGAGTTTATTGGTCGACTGTCGGGGCCTTCTCTTGTCATGCTGGAGTGGAAGGAATACAATAGAGTTGATGGTGACAATACCATTCTTCACTGTGGGTCCTATTCCAATGCATTGTTGTCGCCGTCATCATCATTAGAAAGCAAGAACAACCACGACGACGACGACCACAATCATGATGGCACGCAATATTTTGTAGAAATCTTGATTCTATATTGTCAACATTTTGGTGTGGGATCCAAGTTGTATCAAAAGTCGCAACAGTCTATTAATGCTACGTCTACGCCACAAACCGACAATGAGTGGCTCACGTTTGCCTTTCAAAACATGTGTGTCGAAAAGCCAGAGGCCAATCGAATCACACCAGTTGGATCCAGCATTCGAATTTCTTCTTCCAAGCAAGCTACTGTCATTGGAAATAGAGACACTGTTGGAGGTCGATGGATCCATGATCAAGCAGCAACAATGCGTCCATTGGTGACGCGGTATCAGCCACAAGGGTGTCGGCGGTCCAATACGAATATTACTTTTACAAATGCTGCAAGAACCACGGAGGAGAAGCCGCAATGTCAAGTGGCAACCAACACGGCACGCTTTGGTGACTACAAGTTTGAATGGAGCCATAATGGGCAAGAGGAAGAATCATCCATGAAGAAAAATATTGAAAATCTGCAATGGGATATCGGACTGACTAGACAACAGGTATGTGGGGATGGGCTTTCGACTGGTGATCAAAAACGGGACTGCATCCTTCGATTGGGAAAGATACTTCAGAATAGCACACTATTGGCATCACCACCAACGCCACCATCCCATGATGAATCAGTGCAAAAGTCGGGAAGCTTTTTCCAAACACCACCACCATTGCAACAACGTCCATCCAAAGTTGTTTGTGTCGTCGGATACTCTCATTCTTATCACATGATCTATGCCATGCACCAACTCAATCTCGGGCATCATTTTGTTTGGGCGCAAGCCAATTATCCAAACGATATTGACTTTCATTTTGTGCGGAGGCATGTCCAAGAACACAAGTGCAACCGATTCCTAATTGGTGTAGGACAGTGGCCGGCCAGCCATTGGGGCAATCAGAACAATTGGCCGGAAGGCAAACCAGTCCCGTTTGGAGTTTATCGCAACGAAATCTTTCGGGTGTTGGACATGTTTCACAATCACTTTTCCAAGATTAAGGTCTACATGCGATCCATCCACCACAATCCCATTATGGAAGATTCCGGAAAGTGTTTGGCGGGAGACTGGAGGACACCCACGGTCATGACGGCCTACAGTGAAATTATTCGAGAACAAGTCCACAATCTGAATGAAAGGATCCTTCAAGAAGCTGCTCCAACTACCACTGACAAAAAACAATATCAAAAGGATCCACAGATTCAATTCTTGGACACTCGCTTCATTACGTATCCCATGTGGGACAGTTCGTACGATTGGTACCATTTGTCGGACCAAGTTGCCAAGGTGGAGGCCCAGTATATCGCCGCCACGATCCTCGACAGCAAATCGAAGCAATACTTGTTAGGGCCGAGTTCGGAAGACTGAAATTGGTCCGACTGGCTGACTGACTGACTCATACAGACGATTCTTGGTACAGTCGAAGTTGATCTTGGCATACCTGATCGTACACGCGCTTTTCAAAGTCTCGAGTATCTGCAAGGAGTTTGGCTGAAGCAGCTTGCCAGAGTTCCCTGCGGCTTGCTTCCTCTTCCTTGTCTTTCTTGCAATTCGTTTTCTTTTTCTCACGGTGGAAAAGCTTGCTTCCCAGACCAATCGGCTCCACATTGTGCTTGCTGCAATACTTCGAGTACATGGCTTCTACCATGACTAGGCCTTCGGACGGTGCCAGTGGTGCTTGCTCACCCAACAAAGTCTCCTTTTCTTGAAACGCCTTGATTATAAAGTCAGCTGGTAGACTTCCATTCATAATGGCTATAGTAGTTCCCATCATCTTGCGAATCTGATGATACAAGAAGGATTGTCCCTTGATGGAAATGACTAAAAAATCATCTGTATCGTTATGTCGTATCACATCCTCCACGTGACATCGGAGAATGTGCCGGAAAAAGGTTGGTTCTTCTTCCAGCTCTTTTTCATCAGTACTTGCTTTAGCAGATGCTTCAGCAGTGTTGTTTACTTTTTCCTTGTCACTCTTCTGAGAGTCCCTAGTAGCAGTGTTATTATTGTGCGGCGACTCTGGCTTCCAGTTGGTAAAATTATGAAAGGAGTGGGTCCCGCCCCACTGTAGCAACACTTGTTTGAGACGCTTTCTCAAGTCCATTAGGCTTTCATTATTATTTTCTGGTATGCCTGTGCGCTTGAATGCTTGGGCGGGAACAAAGTATCGATACCGTCGCGCTTCGCAATGACTCCGGGCATCCAAGGATGACAGTGGAAGATGATTGCTGCTTGGAGATGACGACGATGATAATGATGATGATGATAATGATAATGATAATGACATGGCTCGTAACAACCGAATATCATTGGGCAAGAAAGAATTGACTTTGTCTTCAAAGATAGTTTCACTGGACCACAACACCCACGGCAACATCAAACTAAAGACATTGCCCAATGCCGAAACACCCTTGTCGGTCCTAGAACTCCTTGTCATGCCTTTCGGGTTGGTCTTGGTGGCAATGTGTTCTTGAAAGGCAGCCTTGGCCTGACGAATAGTTTCATTATCGTCTTGTGGAAACGCCTGACCAATGGCCTTCCACAGACAACCTTCCACGGTAGGAACCGAATCGGTACAATCGTTCCGTGCCGATCCATGATAGTTCTTTCCCAAATATGCGACAATCAAAACAACCCGTTTGTGCTGTATTATTTGCTGTTGGTGTTGTCGATGTGACGATAATAACGCTCCATCCGTAGTTGTAGAAGATGCAACATGATTGGGATCGCAACAGCCATTGTTGGAAGCTCGCAGCTGCTGGAAGAGTTGATTTCGTGATTGGAACTCACGGTTGCAAGTGGAGCAGCAGCAGGACGCTTCAGTTTTTGCTTTCGTTTCAAGCTTTCGCTTTCGGTTCCCAGCAGGGTTGTTTGCTTGTGAGGGTGAATCGTCGAATTGTGTCATGGTATCTTATTTACATGTCCGATAACATATTGCGCTTGAAAGTTGCTCCAAAATAAGCGAGTGTGGGCTATTGATATGACTTTTGAAGTTTGCAAAATCGACTAGTCGGACCATTACTGTCATGCATTTTATTATTCTGTCGTATACCTACAGTATATCATGCATCAACTACACGACTTCGGTTCAGCAATTCTTCGTGGATCACCTATGTTATGTTATAAATGCGATTAGAAACAAGTTGAATGCAGCAACACAACATGAATACTGTACAACAACTTCAAGCCGTTCCTCCGCTTGCAGTTGATTATGACACCGAAGCGGCATCTCAGCCAACACTTCCACCAAGATCGAAAGACGATCATATGATTGCTAATAGGGACACGACGGACAAGTTCGCTTCTACAAAGTCCAACAGTTGTCGTACCATAATATTCTCTGTGCTCTTTGTCCTTTTGGCCATGGCAGCCACAGGTGTTGTTGTTTGGTTTGTCATGGATTCCAAAATCCAAACGCAACAACGACCAATGGAAGCGGATAACGTTCCGTCCCAGCAACCTCATAGCTCTCCTCCTATTACCCCGCCTGTTGCTCCATCATCATCACCAACGACGATAACTGATGATCTACTACCACCACCATTGGAAATCAGTGACAGTCTGCCTCTTTCCATGTGCATGGGAGATTGTGACGAAGATACGGATTGTGGACCTGATCTCGTGTGCTTTCAACGAAGTCCGAATACCCCAGTTCCTGGATGCTCAGGGGGTATACAAGATGACAGCAACTCGGACTATTGCATTCCCGTCGAGCTGCCTTCTTTGGTGGTTGTCACTGACACGGCGTCTCCGCTCGGACTGTGTGAGGGAGGTAAGTCTTATTTTATAATATATATATTTTATGTATTATTGCATCAAATCCTTTTTCTCGTTTGGACCAACGAATTGGATGTACGGCCCAGTCCTCAGTCTTTGTTCTAACACATCTACCGCTCTTTCTTGAATAATGTAGATTGTGATTCCAATGACGACTGTGCCGATGGATTGAGTTGCTATCAGCGATCGGAATTTGAATTCGTACCTGGATGTTCTGGTGGTTTGACCGATGTTAGTCGAACAGATTATTGCGTTCCCAGCTCGTTGGTTCCAGAAACCTACATGATGTCTTTGGGCAAGAATAATAATAAGCTCTTTGGAAATCCAGATGATAATTTTGGAGCGGCCGTGAGTTTGTCGCAAACGGCAGTCCCTCGTCTCATGGCGGTGGGAGCTGTGGATCGTGGCTCCACCGGCTATGTCAATATTTATCATTTCAATAATGATACCACTACTACAGCAGACGACGATAATTGGGTCTTGAGTGCCACCATCCAAGGCGACGAAATCGGTGCTAACTTTGGCAATGCGGTTGCCATGTCGGGGGATGGAACACATGTTGCGGTTGGCATGCCCGAGGGCCAACATGGCGGACGAGTACAGGTATTCCAATTATACATTAGCAACAACAACAACAACAACAACAGCAGCAACCGTTCCAACGAAATTGGCTGGAACCAAGTGGGCAGTGACATTACTGTAGGTGGTCCACAGGACTCTGGTGGATATGCCGTCTCACTTTCCGAGGATGGAAGCATTCTGGCTGTGGCAAAACGGTACTACTTTCAGACTTACAAGAGAAACAATGATGATGATTCGTGGATTGCTCTTGGGTCGCAAGTGGACATTGGATCCTTTGGACAAGACGCCATTTCACTCTCTAGCGATGGCAATAGAATCGCAGTGAATGGCAAGCCGGATGATGTATTCCCTCCCGATGGATACGGCCGCGTCTATGAATTAGTCAATGATGGCACGGAATGGACTCAGGTTGGCCAGACCTTGGGTGAGTTGACCCTTTATGACTCGTTTGGATTGGACAATACCGACAAGGCGTCTACTTCCCTCTCTGGTGATGGTACCACTGTCGCCATGTCGTGCATTGATCGACTCGCTGAAAATAGCTATGTGCAAGTGTACCGGGATAATATGGGAGACGACTCTCAACAATGGACACCCTTGGGCGACCCGATCTTGAGCAAATTGAACGAGTACGCTCCGGCCTCGATTGTTGAGATTAGTAAGGATGGTGAAGTATTAGCTATTGGAGACTACGAATTGGGACGAGTGCGATTGTATGAATTTGACAACAGACTCGGTCAGTGGATCCTTGTTGGTCAAGTCCACTCTGAAAATGAGGATGACCAGTTGGGCATCGCATTGTCGCTAGCTGGTGGGAGAGGAGAAGCGTACCTGGCAATTGGAGGCCCCAACAAGAAACATGTCCTTGGCAATCCTGGTTTTGTCACCACCTACAAGACCGTCTTTGGCATTCGCCCCGATCCAACCTTTGCACCGTCAAACGCCCCAACCGAATGGGTTGATGGAGGGGCAAATGGTCTGTCTATTTTTTCTCAGAGTCCAGAGTACGTGTGGTCCGGCGAACAGATCAATGACAGCAATGACATTGCCGGAAATTCAGTGGCAGTGTCTGGAGATGGAATGGTCTTTGCGTTCGGCCTCAAGAGTGAAAATTCTGTCAACAGAGTCATTGTTTACCAGGACGATGGCGAAGGGGGTCGGGACTCGCGCCCGCAGCTTTCGGGATTGCAGAGTGGTGATGATTTTGGACATTCCATTGCCCTGTCTGGTGATGGCCTCGTAATGGCAGTTGGAATACCAAATAGCAGTATCGTTGGAACAGTGGCAGAAGGGGCTGGAAGTGTCCAAGTTTACTTGTTTGATCCTACAGGAAGGACTTGGACTCCAATGGGCGATGCCATTGTTGGCTCTGTACTCCAAGAATCGGGAAGATTTGGTCATTCCGTTTCGTTGAACGATAATGGTGACATTCTTGCCGTTGGTGCACCACTTGCAACAAGAGTGTCGATCTTTCGATTTGAGAACAATGAGTGGGTGAAGATGGGTGGCGATATCACTGTTTCAGAGTACAGGGCGGCATGGCACGGATGGAGCGTATCGTTGTCAAGTGATGGTTTGGTTGTAGCTGTGGGTGGTCCAACCAACCAAGACACCATGGACGAAGCTGGTGCTTGTCGCATCTACGAGTTTGTCAACAACAACTGGCAACAAAGAGGTCAGGCAATACTTGGCGGGCAGCGCCATGGTCTGTTGGGTACATCTGTCTCTTTGTCTGGTGATGGCAGCGTTGTGGCAATGGGTGCGATGAACTATGAGCTGCCCGAGGCGTATAGCAACAAGGAAGACGAAGTGTTTCACTACGGCCTAAATGCAGGCGCAGTGTTTGTTTTTGAGTATTCCCCAGAGGGCAATTGGACGCTTCTTGGAAAACCAATCTTTGGAAATGCCGCTTTTGATCGTTTTGGGAGGAGTGTTTCGCTCACGAAGGATGGGAAAAAGTTAGCAATCGGTGCTCCAGAGCAGGGAGAGGGAGGCCAAGTCCGTCTTTTTGTTTTTGATGAAGAACACTCGTACTGGGATCAAATAGCAGATGTGGAGCGATACGATGCCTATGATGATCAAGGAAAAAATGCCGGTTTTGGGACATCTGTTGACTTGGTAGATACTGGTGCCAATGGCCTGAAAATGATGGTTGGTGCTCCGAGGACGAGAGCAAGATATGGTGAGAGGCTCGGTCTCATACCAAAGTATGTCGGAGAAGTCTGCATTTATGACGAGTAGGTGTTAGGGTGGAATTCTGCTGATATATTCCTCCCGTTTTGGCTTCCTCATAGGACGTTGATCTTCGCTTGAGATTCCGTGTTCCATTCGGGCACGCGCACTTCAACATACATATTGTCCAATCTCACGTCACCACGTCAGTGTCACGTGAGACGGACCTACTGTCTGAATTCTCTCTCTTTGAGTGAATTCCATCTCTCACTCTTTTGTGGAGATCGTAAAATCACATCACATCATTAAAAGGATAGAATCTCTGTTTTATCTTACTGTCTGGCTATATCGGTCTCGGATCTATAGCATCGTTAACAGTATTCTACCTTGTCAGGTTATGAGCCCTTGTCAGGTTAACGATTCTGTTCTGTTCCGAGGCCTCGACGATGAATACATCCAACCTGATCAACATTTGAAACGGAAATGTCAGTCATGGAAACAGTCTATACCCAGATGGGGTTTGCGCCCCTCTGGAGTACTTTATGCCCTCGTGGCACCACCGTCCATGCCCAGAGTAGGGTGTCGCCCATCTGGAGTACTTTTTGCCCATGGAGAGGCATATGTCAATGTACATCAACCAAGAAGAATGTATGTGGAGTTGCCATCAGTTGAAAAGCCGCGTAGGAAGATCACTGTGGAACTGCCGTCAGCGTACCCGTGGTGGTGCGGCATTCGTCGATATCGTTACCCGCGTCAGTACCATCTGAGACTTCGTATCGCGCGCGTCAAAGGAGATCCTAGGAAAATACTCCGGCGACAACGGAAGGAAGGGGTTCGAGAGCAGAAGCAGGAAAGGAAGCGCCAAGAGAGGCGCCGCAAGGAAGATTATGAGAGCCGACGTCCTGAACGGCGCCGAAAGGGTGCTGCACAGGGTCGAAAGAAAACAAGGTTTCGTTTACTGAAGAAGTTAGTTCGCGCCAAGAGCCCTAAGGAGCAAGATGTTCTCCAGAGGGAGCTGAAGAGTCTCAAGGAAGAGGATTTCTGGGGAGATTACGACGTCAAGCAACCTAGTCACTGGGAAAGTCCAAGCGATGAGGAGTTGTTAGAAGACTACGAGCGGACCAAGAACCGATATTTGCACCACTCTTACCTCCAGTACGAATCGCAGTATGGGGTTGTTCTCGACGAGCTTCTTGCGGATTTTCGTCCTAATACCAAGCATCACGCAATGAAGGATGTTGTTGGGATATGACGAAATATGAGTTTTTACGTTCCAAAATGAAACTATTCAAGTACGAGGTTTTCGACACGTGCGATCGGAATTTGATCGTGCAAGATGTCGGGATTCGACGCAAGTATGCCGGACGCAAGTCTGTCGGACAATCTGTATCCACACAAACAGGAAAAGATCCTGTACAAGTGGAATATCGATGTTGTGTACAATGCAGTAGGGAATTATGCAAGATATCCCAAAGTACTGCATTCAACACAGAATTGCCGTAGAAGTCGAATCGAGTTCTGTAAACAAGGGATTTTCCAAGGGAAAATCGTCAAACTCACTTTTGTGATTGAATCATCAATTCAAGCCAAACATTAATCAAATAGGAACAATTTCACTCAAAGTATACCTAGACACAGGAGAACTATTGTCGTGAAAGTGTTGTACAATCGATTACGAATTTAGATTGCAGAGAGTTTGTTCTGAGCGCTAAAGGCACTCACGATAGAGCACATTTT